ATCATACTGTTTTTAAGAAGACTTTGCGGCCAAAGAAATTATCAGGAAAACATTTTCTGAGATGATTAATCAAGGTATTTTTCTCATAGACAACCAGTGGAGTCTTGTCCTGCTGGATATTAGAGAAAACGCTTTTTGAGGCACTGGTGCATTGGTTTTACTATTTGACCTGGAGGCGCTGCTTGAGTAACAATAGGTATATACAAAATATTGAATGAGTACCTAAGTGCTGTAAATATCATAGTTCTCATCATCAGTAGTCTTTGGTATGTTCTCAGTGTCTCTTTAAGCAACACAGGACACTCTCAGATGCTTGGTTTAAGGGCTTCAACATAGATGATGTAAATAGTATTTGGCAGCCGTATGTGAGTTTCAGAGTTATTGGGATTTGAGGCCTGCCTGTGGCTTGAGGTCTGAATGAGATGAGGTTGGAGTGGTTTGCCACACAACACCCAGTACAATTCTACATTGTGATTAAAAATGACTGCATAAACAAATATGGTTAACCGTGTTGGCAGTTACTCACTGCGGTATCTTAGTGTTACTGTATGTAAGTGATAGCATTACATTCAGGTAAATGCAGAGTTGCTTACTTTACTTATTTTTATACAGAAATGTTGCAGTGCATCGTGTAAAAAAAGCCAAGCTGTCAATCAGGATCTCTGTGCTGTGACTTGTTTCCTGCCATAAAGCACAAGTCAATGAAAAGAAACCACCTGAGATGTTGCCCCAACTAATCTGCTATGGAAATACACAGCGTTAAATCGAGGGGAAAATGACAGGAAGTTTAGTCAGCATGATACTCAGTTGATGAATGACTAAAATGCATTGTATGCACATAGTCTGATTGTGTTTTTGTAAATTAACTCTGCCTTGACTGAAGCACAAACAGTGCATGCATCACTGCACTGTGGAATATACAGTATATAGTAGTTTAGAGGGGGGTCAGTTTATAGTGTCTTTCTAGCTGTCAAAGATCTACATCTCACCATCTAAAAGCTGTGTACGGCCAAATAATACGAAATAACATTTTCAGAAGTTGCTTGTTCACTTTCTCCTCGCATATGTTTTTGTATAACACTCCTTTTATACGCGGGTTTAGAGAAGGAACAAATAAGTTTGAATTAAGGCTTTTCAGATTGACCGTATCAACCTCTATTGGTTGTGTATAAGTTTTGCTTTTGTAGTAAGATTTTGGCAAGTTGCCAATACCTAAATTGGCCCTCAGGGTTTAAGTCAGAGAGGAAATGTGTCGTTCTTATCTTTTCCACTTCTGCTAAATGCACTTCTTACTATCTCTGTCCCTTTTAGATTTTCTGTGGTACTGTGTCGATGGAATAAATAATCATAAATACAATATTAAATAACGTCCAATTTCTGTTTGTTTCTCCGCAGCAACTGCCGACTGCTTTTTTGTTTTCTGACTTGCACCAGTTTTAAGCAGCTTTCCAATGTGAGCGCCTAAAATGCATTTCATTTCAAACACCCTGGCCTGATGAGAGACCAGTTGATTGCATTACTAATCGGAGAGAAAGGGCACCATTTTGCGAGACCTTGATAATTGGTTTAGTGTCGAACAAGTGTTGTAACTTTGTGCTCTGACATCTACACCAGCTGGACCAGCAGCTGCCACCTGCTAATCCTGATCACTGATGGATATTCACATGGCACAGAGTGCAGTGCTGCTGTGTGTTTGTGTGCAACTCACTACTCTCTTTACCTAACATGTTGTCATACAATAATGATTAGATCACAGTTATTGTATGGGTGCTTTGGTTCTTCTATCTGAGCTGCAGTAAAAGTTAGTCAGCCACTGTTGACCAGCTATATTCTGACTTAACTATAAAGTAATTTAAAGTTGTATACAACAGAACCTACTTATACAGAATGATATATTAGCTGCCATTAGCTTACCTTTTAAAGCTTTATTATTAATTCTTATTTTTGTTATATCCTTGCTGATTTATATTGTTTCTTGAATTCTGGTTCTGTTGTGTTTAGAGGTCTCTCTTGACCCTAATAAGAGGGCCTGATTAAATAAATGTACTGTGACGTTTATAGGAATGTTAAAGGTGGGGTAGGTAAGTTTGAGAAACCGGCTCGAGATACACTTTTTGTTATATTCCATGGAATGCTCTTAACATCCCGATAGCAATGAATATCTGAAGTGCTTTGACAAAAAATCCATAAAAAAATGTCATCTGTGGAAGCCGTAGTACTGTAAAAAGCACGACCAATCATTTTAGCCGGCCCGGCTAAAATAACTGGATGGCCTACCTGCCTGTCAGCCTTCCATCTGTGCACAAATGTATCTCGTGCCCTCATTGGTCATGTGCGCGTTCGTGTGTGTTGGAGAAGGGGCTCTGTAAGGAAGTGGCAGATTTTTTTCAGCTGTGTATTTTCAAATTCTAGCGCACTCGAGCTGGATTCTCCAAAATTACCTACCCCACCTTTAAGAAAAACATTTATTTAATTTGTTCCCTAATTAGCCCAAGTGTTTTGCACCAGCCTGCCCTCAGTTATCTTTATTTTTTGTTCACCCCTTCCCTTGTTTTATTCTCACAAAATGAAAGGGATGAAAACCAGGAAACACCCTGGATAAAAGTAAAAATAAAGACATACAATGATTGACACATAATGATAGTACGAAATGGGTATAATATCCTAACCTTATCTGAAAACAAATTCCACCTCTCTGCTGTCTGGTAGTACTGTTCGTACTTTTAATCGTGCTGTCGACAGTTCCTCTGAAACATCTAACAATAACTTTTTCCACTGGTTAAGTGGGACATAGTGTGGCGGTTGCTACATAAGTGGCAACATTTTTCTTGTCAGCAGCACACTATTTCAAACATAAATGTTTTTACTTTGAAGTTAAACTTAATGTATCATCCTGAGTTTACTTAAGGCAGTTTGTAACCTGTTCCTAAAAAGATTTTACAACATATGCAGTCTCTTTATTATTATTATTATTCTTGTCTTCAAACTCTTAAGGATGTAATAACTGCATGTGAAAAATGATCTATAAACTATAAAAGTAGGTAATTATAGTTTTTGAAATTAAAAGAGATGTTGGACAGAAGTGAAAACGATGTTGCTCATCTCCCTCTCGTCTCTTCTTCCAGTGAAGACTTCTCCTTTGTTTATAGTCACATAAAAGGGCCTCGAACATAAAACACAATTTAACAGAATTGATGTTGTGTTTTATAAACGAGTAGTTATTATGCTGAAGTGGCCATAACTTGCGTGCGGGGCAGTATTTTGTTGTCTTCCTGTGAAAGAAGTGGTACAGTACTTGTCATCAGACAGTACAGTACACTTTTCAGACATGCTGCTTAAAACTTCACTGGCCAAAGTAAAATACTTCAGTACTCTTAAGATACTAAGATTAGGGATAATCTTGGGGCTACACATGCTTTAAACATTGAACTATTCACAACGTCCTCCGTGTAAACAGCTCACAGTTCATTCAAAGTTTCTCTACGTTTTTTTTTACTTTCCCTGACTTTCGTCACACATGATTCCTTCATAGACCGTTGGAAATTGGAAAATCCTCCAGTCAGATAATAATTTCCTTTTAAAAAAATAATAATTTCTTCTGTTTTTCTGGTATGATAATTGGTGTAATTTGGGCTGTTTTCTTAAGTAAACATCTCATTCATACCCCCTCGGGGCTTGTAGGGTTCAAAGGGTTAAAGCACTTAAGTGCAGTTGGCATGAAACCAATAAAAGTAAGTACATATTCAGCTACAACTAATGTATATTCATACAGTGTATGACTTGGCTTGCTGTGCTTATGGATCAACAAATCCCCTCTTGCTTGTGTGCAGTTTTGTTTTTCTCTGTTGGTTAATCACTCAGAGAGTAAACAAAGCATATTGTAAAGGTCCCATGTCATGGCCATTTCTACTGATCATAATTCCATTGTTGACATATACTAAAATAGATTTATATTGTGCAATTTTCCAAAATCACATTGGTTTCCTCATACAGCATCTCTGTATAGTATGTGTATTCACTCTCTGTCTGTCCTAAACGCCCGCCCCCCATGAGCCCAGTGGCCGTCTGCGAGACAGCGAAACCCAGCCCGAACACACACACACCCGCAGCCTGGCTGGGAGTTTGTGTGTGTGCTCACACACCGACTCAAAGCCTCTCAGGGAGGAGAAATCGGCGGAGCTGCAGCTGAGAAAAGAGTGAGTGTGTGTGTGTGAGGAACACTTAACGGCTCCGTGGACGTAACGTAACGGCTTCACGGATTGGCCCATTTGGACCAATGGGTCCATTTGGGCATGGGCACGTCACTGTACCCAGAAAGAAAACAATGGAAAAAGAGAAATCTCCAACGAGGCATTCTGGGGCAGCATAGACAGGTATTTTCTGTGTTAGAGTTTTACTCGCTACAGGGTGTACTTTGAGGGTTTGTGGCCGAAAAGCCAAAATGCTTGTTTTGCCATTACTTATTATTTGTATTATTATCTTCATTTCTGTTTGCATCGCGTTTAATTCTTATTGTTTATCACTTCCTGGAATGGTCACGTGGGTGTGGTTTATTGTTATTTAGGTCACCTGTTGGATGCCGGTTTGGGAGGATATGATGTAGGAAGAGGGTGAATTTGCTCTGATACTTTCTGTTGACAGTCAGGTCGGGAGTTGTACATTGATTGTTTGCGTTTTATGAAACACTATGGACTATAAATGACTTCGGACTCTTATATGGAACGCGTCACAGCAAAGAGCACATTTTAGCCTATCAGCGGCATAACTCATAGGGAGTTTGTGCTGCTACAGTGCCTTTGCAGACCGTTTACATGCATAAAAAAAACCTTCATAACACACAAGGGGACGGGTAATAACCGGAAAAGCATGACATGGGACCTTTAATGAGTTTCATTTAGTGCATTTGTTTTTCCCCTTCAGCGCTAAGTGTGTTTTTATTTCAGTATTTTCAGTGTATTGTAAAGTATTTACACTGACCTGTGTGTGAATCTGTGTTTCAGTTTCCTGCTGGTGTTCAGCTGTTTGGTGCTGTCGGTATTCTCCACCATCCCAGAACACCAGAAGTTCGCCAACCAAGGCCTCTTCATCCTGGTAAGACCTTCTTTGTTGCACAAACACAAACATATGACTACTTCAGCATCCGTTTTCAAAGTCTGTCCTTTTCACACACACGTGCCATCTCACCTACTTAGGTGTATCCGTATTTGCTTGCGTACGTGTTGCTTTGTTTGCCGGTGGAGGCACAGACAGCGGTGTAAGCAGCTGGGAGGATTCAGGTGTTGTTGACTGCGCAGGAAATCATAGACATGATCCACTAATCCTAATAGCTATCCCATAATCCCCCCTTTTTCCTCTGTGCTCCAGCTGCTTTAGTGAAAGGTAATGGACACTCGCTTTCTCCTTATTACCTGACTCCTAAGCTTTCCAGCCCCCTCCTCCCCTCTACAACCTTGCTCATCTTTACGTGTTACTTAATGGTCGGACTCTTGTCCAGACACCTGAAAATAAGACAGACAAAGAGATACAGAGAAGACTGACAGAGGGGCTTGTTAATAGGCTATAACTGTTTTAATATACCTTTAATTATTTAGCCTTTAAGTTAATGTTTTATTGAATAAAACGTGACAACATTTGTGTTAAACATACAGTTCTGGCTACTTTTTTACCTGCCAGGTCATTTGAAATGTCGCTCTGTATAGTGCCATATTCATATTAATGATGCTATGAAAAAATCAAAGACTTGGACGTATCGTTTTCAGGGTAACTAAACAAAATAACAAAAGGTGAATCAAGAGAAAATGCTAATTACAACATACACACAGATATTGCAGAGAATTCTGAATAAAACAGATTATGCTAACAGTATTTAAAGTAATATAACATTTGTTAGATAAGGACGCAATCTATTTAACATTCAACATTTAATAATGTGTTACAGCAGTCCTGAAAAATGCCACGGACCTCACTTTGAGAATCACTGAGTTTAGATGACACTTTTCTTGTATAGCCTCACGCTATACATCTTATACATTGAGTACATTCAAATATGCCCTGGGTGTGTGGGAGTTGATTTGTTTGGGTGATCTGTAAAACACTAAGCTCCCTTGTCTGCTGTATGTCACTGACCTGTGTGTGTATGCGTGTGTGTATGTGTGTGTGTTTTGTAGGAGTTTGTGATGATCGTGGTGTTTGGGTTGGAGTACTTCATCAGGGTCTGGGCGGCTGGCTGTTGCAGCAGATACCGTGGATGGCAGGGACGGCTGAGATTTGCCAGGAAGCCCTTCTGTGTCATAGGTTAGTGCGTGTGTGTGTATTTTTGTGTGTGTGTATATGTCTCTGTGTGTGTGTGTGTACAGTACACAAACCCACATCAAAATCCTGTGTGTGTACAGGGTTTATGCAACAATTGTTGTCTTATCTCCTCATAATGACTTCTTCACAATTTTTTTTGTACTTCATCGCAGATTTCATAGTATTTGTGGCATCGCTGGCGGTGATAGCAGCGGGGACCCAGGGCAACATCTTTGCAACGTCAGCCCTACGCAGCATGCGCTTCCTGCAGATTTTGCGTATGGTCCGTATCGACCGCCGGGGAGGCACCTGGAAACTACTGGGCTCAGTGGTTTACGCTCACAGCAAGGTGAATATATACAAAACACGATCTCTGGTTTTTATGAATGACCTGCATTTATATACACTAGTTACTTGTAGAGACAATGCCCATATTTAATTAAATACTTTGTTTACACATGCACATACTGTACTATGTCAGCTCCTCAACTGATAGACAGCACAGCTGAAGGAGTTATTGTAGTATTTAAAGTATTAATTTGAAGTTGGTTTACACTAGTTGGTAACTCATTTGGGTTTAAGGCTTACATTTAGCTTTATTTATTGGAGTTGTATTTTGTTATACTGGAATTGAATTCATGTTTCATTTTTTTACCTTTGACACATTTTTCCTGCATTCAAATATTTAATCTTAAATTGTAATTATTGGTAATTTCAAGTTGCTTGTGCACAATGTATTATTTTTATCAAAAAATAACAATTCAATAAAACTACAAGTTAGGATATCAATATATGAACTACGGCACTTCCACACAGTGAGACTTACAGCTTAACAATGATCAGCCAATACCCAAAGCACTCGGAGTGAAAACGTAATATCAGAGCATCCCCATCAGTGGTGCTGATATTTAAAATGAAGTGTATACAAATGCGTGTTCGCCACATACAGCTTTATGGATTAATATAAGAGCAGGAATGAGCTAGTTATTAAAAGGCTGGGGATGATGGTTACTAATGGGATGAATAACTTAATAACTCTCAGCGTTGAGGAATATGTGGTGAGTCTACTGACCAGCTGTAACGGGTTGATTACACTCGCTGCCCTCAACATAAAACTTCCCTATAGCTGCTCAATTTCAGCAATTAGTTGTTTTTATGCTGACCCAAACATCTGACACCCACCGGTGGCCGATGGCGATGATGATGAGTTGATACATCAGCTGTCTAAGCAGAACTGTGCAGCCAAGTCAAAAGTGGACACCAAATATGATGATGAGGGGAACTTATCCGTTAATGATGATAGTGATACGGTAATGACAGCAGGGATTATGATGCTGGAGATGCTGCTGTGTTTCTGACAGGTGAGATTGATTCCTCCTCTCTGTCCCTCTCAGGAGTTGATTACAGCTTGGTACATAGGTTTCCTGGTCCTGATCTTTGCCTCCTTCCTCGTCTACCTGGCAGAGAAAGACATCAACTCAGACTTCAACACCTACGCAGACTCCCTCTGGTGGGGGACTGTGAGTACAACATAACACACTCAGGCACACAGTATCTCTGTCGCTGAAGAGAAAATATATAACTTTTGTCGTGAAAATGTTCTTATAATAAAAACAAAACAAATAACAAACAAGAGGGTGACGGACAATACAAACATAAAGTGAAATGTAATAAGCATAAGACATCTGAGAATATCACAACGAAATGTGTGTTTTTTATTTTGTCTTAATGTGTGTATATATGTAAATGTACCTGTTGACTGTGTATATAGGATATACATATTTTATACATATCTGTATAATTTTACATTCGGGATTGTTGGAATTTCGTTCTCTCTGTCTGTAAACACAAACTGAGTAAGATTGACATTAAAGTTGACTTTGAAACAATAACAGGATTCATCTACATTACATATATAATCCTTGAGAACTATTGAAATATTGCCAGGCATCAACTGAATTGAGTTAAGATTTAACAACAAGCTTTCCCGATCAATTTCATATGATTTATTATGAAAAGTCATAATCTTTTGGACATTTTAAACTTTATTTGCTTATGTTAGTAAAAATACAGACAGATAAACCCATTTAAATTCATGTTAAAACATTTTTGTTATGGTGGAGTATGAAGGGTGAATTGAGGAGTCTCTCCCTCAAAGCTTGATCAAATAGAGTCCAAATTACACAAATTAAACATGGAAAACATTTGTAGTTTCACACAAAATACATATTATATGAACTTCCTACATCTATGTGTGTGATCATGTATATTTATCCTCCCATCCAGATTACTCTAACCACTATCGGCTACGGTGACAAAACCCCTCGTACCTGGCAGGGTCGGCTCCTGGCTGCTGGCTTCGCTCTTCTGGGAGTCTCCTTCTTTGCCCTGCCTGCTGTAAGTTTCCTGTATATTCACTACTCTTTATTTACTAAAACCCTCTCAGTGGTTCAACCTGGTCAGAAATGCTTTACTGACTTTGATTTGACCTCTGACCCTCAGGGCATTCTGGGGTCCGGCTTTGCCTTGAAGGTTCAGGAGCAGCACCGGCAGAAGCACTTTGAGAAGAGGAGGATGCCTGCTGCCAACCTGATACAGGTAAGAGTCACAGGGAGAGTCATTCACGCTGCTTTTATATCATGTGTTCATTCATAGATTAACAGTGGTTAGTTAATTAGTTATTAGTTAACTTTCACTGATGTTTCTGTGTTTTTGTATCTTTCTCCAGGCCGCATGGCGTCTCTACTCAACAGATGCCAAACACTCCTATCTGACAGCCACATGGTACTTCTATGACAGCATGTTGCCTTCGTTCAGGTAAGTTCCCCATATGTGTGAATGCTCAGCACTGAGTGGATTCAACCCACAGAAATCTGTGGTTGTGTTTGTTTGGAGTTTTGTCATAAAAGCAGACAGAGATTTGAGAGTTCCATCACCAAAGAGTCAGCTATGTACAATAGTTAGCGTTGTTTTGTCCCTGCTCATACACATCGTTATGAAAACACACAGCACAAATCAGAAATGATTGAACTTTTCCTCCATCATCAACACCATTCAGTTACATTTGGGCAGTGGTGGTATAAGTAAAAAGGGATGTTGTTTTCTGTCATTTTAATATAATAAAAATGTAATTCAAACCCAAAAATGCTTCTACCACCACTGTTACATTTATTATTTTTGTTCTACGCAGTGGTTTCTTATATTTTTCGCTTTTCTGTATTAATTTGACTAATTTGTATTTACTTAAAAGGAAGGGAACATGAGGAACTCAAATAGAAACATATCATAAAACATTTATATTGCAATATTTTAAAGGCACAATGAGTAGGATTCTTTTGAAAAAAACAACCATATACTAAAGATGGCCAACACAGATCCATGTCCATCATCAAGATGTTTATTGGCTTCAACCTCTACACAAAGGTAGAGTTTATTAAAAATGGCAAACAAGTGAGGCACACTGCAACCGACAAATCCTATTCATTGTGCCTTTAAATTCAAACTTTTACATATCATCTATCCTCTCAAGTATCCCTCTTCTTTTGAGTGTTTGGACCATTTGTTTGGCCTTTTTGTGAGTTTTTCCATATTTTGTTGTTTTTTTGTTCATTTGTCATGTGTTTTTTTTGTTCATTTGTGCACGTGGGGGTGTCAGAGAACTGACGCTACTGTTCAGTCACCTCCAGCGGCAGAGTAAGACCAAGAAGGTTCTCCAGAACTCCTACCACACGCTGCTGTCTGGGCTGCGGCCCTACAGCCCCCCCCACCTGTCAGGGGACAGGTACGCACCCGCCACCTCTCACAGCCTCACATTCAGACAGGTGGCCAAAAGTCTGCCTACACTCATGCTCACACACACACACACACACACACACACACACACACACACACACACACACACACACACACACACACACACACACACACACACACACACACACACACACACACACACACACACACACACACACATACCATTAAAAACAGTAACAACAGGGTTTAACAGGAGCATACATTCAACAGGTGTACAAAGAACACAGACTGCTTCCGGGGTTTTTCTGCATGAATGTGTTGTGTTTCTAATGATGTGTCACTAATGCTGATTTGAGACCACTGTGTTGCAGGCCCCCACTGTGCTTCTCTGCATCTTTGTCTGCTTAGCTCATACTTTTGACATCCACTCCGCCTCCCGCTGTTCACTCACTGGTTGCCTCTTCCTGTCTTCCTCTTTTCTTTCCCTTCTATGTCCATCGTGTCTTTTCCATCCTCCATCCTTCATCTGTTCTCAGGAAGGCAGAAGTTCCATGCAGGTTTGTTCTCCAAGTCATGCGCTGTGCTTGTGGGTTGAAGGGTGTTTATAGCAAATGTGCTGCATTAGTTTCATAACATGTTAAGGTTAAAAATAGCAAAGCTAGGGCTGATAATGTGAAATGTCAGAATTATGCATGCATTTGATGAAAGAAGCACCAAAATAATTCAAATTGTGCTGGAAGAAATGTTTTGGATTTGAGGAGCTGCTGTCAAACCATGATGTTTAATGGGCTGTGTTGATGAATATACTCGGGTGAAACACTAACCCACTACCTTTGCATGATCCACCCCCGCCTACCGGTTTAAACCCGCCTCCTCACTTCTCACTAACGCTGTCTCCATAATCCAAAACGGTCCCTCAGAAGTTAATCTTCCAGGTTTAGGTAAGGCAGCAATATGAGGAAGGGAAAGGGCTCTTTGGAATATTGAGATCTCACTCCTCACCCCTCCATCTCACCCTCTCTCCCCTTTGCTACGTTATCCTAACGGGTTAACAATGTACCCAGGTTTTGTCCCAGAACTTCTCGTTCTCCTTCCTCCCGTGTGCTACTCCTCTTCCTCTCACCATCTCTCCCTCTGCCTTGTGTGTCTCCTCAGTCAACTCCTTTCTAAAAAACGGGGTCTCTTCCGGATTCACGATGGCCGCAAGCAGAGGTATCCGTGGCAACAAGCCTGTGCACGGGGCATACTCCTAAAACACGCATACCTTGTCTGAAACACTCATATTTGTGGAACGGTGCATTGTTTTGTTTTTTTAACCAAATCCTGCACTTACCAATTGAGTACTTTAATCAGGCATTACTCTGGTCCACAAGTACTTGAGTGATACTTGACTATGAAGAATTGCTGTGTTCCTCTTTCCTCAAAGGATGTTTCTCCAGCTCAATCTTTCCTGCTGGAGAAACAAGTTCAGATTTTACTTGCTTTAGCTTGAAAATCAGGATAAACCGTGTGTTGAAAAAACATCAGTCCCGTTTTCCAATGTGCTTACATCTAACATCTCTAAAGAAACAAGAAAATACAAATATTCCACTGAAAAAATAAGCAAACAACTTTACTCAAAATAGAGCTGAAGTCAAAAGAATTGCCCTGCTCTTGACTTACGTTTTAAACTAAGTTGTTTGGCTCATTTATAGTGTTTTCTTGGAGAGAAGGTTTAAATGATTCAGCATGTTTTCCTATTTCATATTAGTCATGTAACCTTTCAACAAAATCAGCATGTTAGTGCTGTGTTTTTAAAAGGTTTTTTAAGTGTTTCTGTTTGCATGCGATATCGTTCTAATGCTTTAGAAAGATTCAGTGAAGTTTATGAACCTGAATGCATTCAAACTATTTACTTACCAAACAGCATGCAATGCCCTTTCACTCTATCTCCCCCATTTCCTCCATTTGTCCTGAAGCATTTCAGCTAGCCTCTATGAAATGCAGTTTCCACTAACCTCCCTTAACTATTTAAATTTTAATTTAAATGGCTGGCCGTAACACGCACAACAAAGAGTATATCATCGTAAAGACGCGGGAGTGAACGACTGCGCTGGAATTGCTCTGTGGTGCATGATATTTGCATTGCCTTATGGATCCGTGACAGTGTGTGAGCTGTAAGTGGCTGCAGAGAAGGAGTGCTCTCAAGAGCATGTTAATACCGCATGGTTCAGGGTAGGAGTCAATCTGTTGGAGAGAATGGTCGCCAAATAGCTTTCCTCCTGTAAAAAGATGACCTCACACTAGCGGCCTGCATGGGTTGTTGTGAGTGCTATAGAGTTATTAATCAGACACCTTTTGTATGGCTGCGCTTTGAAGCCGATATTTTTGATGCTTATTCACTCTGTGATGGGATTAGGAAAGCGTGTCTTTCCGCCTGCCCAGCACTCCTGCAAGTCTTGAATCAGGTTTCAGTCTTTTTTTGCTGAATCAGGTGCTATGATAGGCAAATTAAATAAGCAAATCCTCAGGGCAGAATACGTTTTTTAGCAATGTTGAGGGGTCAAACTGCCTCCCTGACAAGTCAGCTAGACACAATCTAAATGTCTGTTTGTGGCCCTGTTTTGTCTGTTTGTCAAGTCTTTCTGATGATTGTCCTGAAAGTCCCAAGCCATATTTTGTCGTGTCACTTTTACTAACTAACTCTTTTCTAACAAGCTCAGGCTGCCGTTCTGCTGCTCCGCTAAACTCCCAGGATAACACAGCTTAGATTTCTGTTAAGGTCAAAGGCATGGACAGTGTGGTCATTGAGAAAAGAAAACCTTTTAGGATCCAAGAAAACCCCCACTGTGCCTAGAGATGTTTAAATATTTTACCTTCACTTTCAGCAGTAAAATGGGCTTCCGGGATCGTATAAGGATGAATCATTCCCGATCATCCCAGTCCATTAAGAACAAGGGGTCTCAGATGCCCACGGGCTCCGGGGTCCGCCGCTCCCCCAGCCAGGAGAACGTCCCCGAGGCCACGAGCCCAGGGAAGGTCCAGAAGAGCTGGAGCTTTAATGATCGCACACGCTTTCGCACCTCCCTTCGCCTCAAACCCCGTCCACCTGTTGATGGTAGGCACCACAAATGTCAAAACACCTTTATTACACCCATAAGCACCATTTCTGTTTAATAATGTGTCCTCCTCTGTCTTGGCTCAGTGGATGGGCTCGGGGAGGACAGTGTGGAAGACAAACCTTATTGTGACGTGGCCATGGAGGACGTAATACCAGCAGTGAAGACACTCATACGGGCTGTCAGGTGAGTCCTGACATTAACAATATTCCATTTTCTTTTACATATCTGTACATATATGGTGGTCCTTCTTCAACATTGTAATTGTCGCACCCATTTAAAAGCATTTGTTTGTTCCTTTGAGCACTGAATTAATTTTCAGTTGCTACAGCCGATAATATGTTCGGTCTGAGTTTCGGGGCTGTTTTCTAACCAGATAATGAATACACTAAGGTAATATAAAGTTAGAAAAACCTAAAATATTTCTTCATTTGAGATGTTATAATATTTATTTTATATATTTTTGGACCTTACCTGATTCCGGTTAGATCTAGAAATGGCTCACCCATGTTGAGTTAAATCAATGAAAATATGAAACCCTTAGGCTGAGGGCTTTTTGTGCTCTGAAAGCTCATGTTTCCAGTCTTACTAGGCCAACGCTCCTGAAGGTGCAAGCAGGCGCTGCTGTGCCGCTGCTCATTGATAGAATAAGGTCACTGTGTTCAGATGAAAAAACCCATGCATGTATTCAGACATGGGCACTTCTCATGGTATTTGACAGCATGCATTAGTCTGTGAACATGCTGCTCCTCAATTTAGGCACTGGTGTGCGCAGATTCAGCTGACGGAGTAGAAATGTCTCCACAGAAGAGGAAACTGAGCCCTTCTGAAGCGGGGTTAGTTACCTCACGTGACCTTGTCGCTGAACAAGCCCAGCTCATTTCGGCCGGCCATGTGTTGTGACAGGGTGGCCTATTAGAGAGTACACACACACAGCTGAGAAAGAATCACAGGATACTGCTGTCAGCTTTGATGTGATGTATGTGAGTGATAGATGTCATGGAAAATGTGTGCTTAGACACTCTGAATGAATAGATACGACGTCCTTTAGATTGCAGTGATGAGGAAAGCAAAAACTAAAAATGGAGATTAATATGAAGGCAGATATGGTGCAAAATGCGAGAGCGTGTAAAACCTGATGTGAGCACTTGCAGAAAATAAATCTGAGCTTGTGTGCATACATTTACACTTGTATAAAATATCCATGTATCTGTGAACCAAATTTGAAGTCACAGAAGAAAAAAAAAAGTTTTGTAGCACTAAGTTCATTTGTTTTCTACAAGCTACAAAACGTTTTGTTTTGGATAAGTGTAAATGTATGCACACAAGCTCAGATTTTTTTCTGCAAGTGCTCACATCAGGTTTTACACGCTCTCGCATTGTGCACCATATCTACATTCATAAATCATGGAGTGTGTGTGTGTGTTAGTTAGTTAGTTAGTAATTACTTACTCATGTATTAAATACAAGAATACATAACCTTCTGTTTGGGAATGTGCAGATATCCCACAGGGTTACCAACAATATCCTGAACACACACACACACACACACACACACACACACACACACACACACACACACACACACACACACACACACACACACACACACACACACACACACACACACACACACACACACACACACACACACCATCCATTAAAAACAGTAACACTCACACTAACAGCGTAGAGTTTTTCTCTGATGGTGGCAGAAAAAGACTGCTAGCAGACATCTGGGTAGCGTGACGTTGCCTGTGTGGTTGCACATGCACTCTGTGAAGCACTGGAAGAACGTACTGTAGGTATGTGCCTTGAAATAGACGCCATGTTGTGCACCCATCTGAACTATTATTAATGATCCATCAAGTAAAATCAAATTGTCAACAGTGTTGTGGTAAATACTTCTGTCTATTGTGTAAAGAGGAGTCTAGATATGTCATAATCCTTACTACAATTTGGATTGATCCATCCTGGTAATGATGATTACACAAGAAAGAAGTAACTAGTCTATTTTAATAAAACAACTTTTGCTGTCTGAACCTGTGCTAACACTTAATGGGATAGTTTGAATGTTATCGAGTGTGGCTGTTTGAGGTACTTTTCCAATTAATTGTAAATGTAGCTTTTGTAGATGGCGGCCGGTTACACACATTATCACAAACCAACTTCCTGATAAACCAATATTAAATGATTACTGATTTTGTCAAAGGAGTCTGGTTGCTTTGAAGAAAGCATAGATAACAGCTCTCCCTGTCGGAAAGGGCTGTCTGACAGCGAGGTAAAGTATTCAACATTTTCAAAATATAGCATACAGTTAAACTGATATTGATTATTTGAGACGGCCTGGCTTTAGCCAGCTAAAATACGTAAAGAAATATGTTCCTCTTAAAAACATTGAAGCTCTCCTGTTATATTGGAGGTTTCTTCTTAGTAAAAAACACTACCGCTAGATATTCTCCAGCCGGATGCAACATGATAATTTTAGTTTGATATCACTTTGCCACTGATACGGTATAATATGACCCCTCCTCAATTTGCACCAGACTCAGCAGATGGCTCTGACCTCAGCTCTGCGCTGTACACAATAGAAGAGAGGGAGTTCCTATATAGAGAGTGCAGGTGTGCAATCAGCAGGTGCTTCACTGTGTTCACACACACACACACACACACACACACACACACACACACACACACACACACACACACACACACACACACACACACACACACACCCACACACACACACACACACACACACACACACACACACACACACACACACACACACACACACACACACACACACACACACAGCAGCCTTGCCGAGCTTCATGATTGATGTTTGTGAAACACAGAATTACGCAGCAGTGGTTTATCAGTGCCCGGCTGCTCGGATAAATGAGTACAGTGTTCTGTTTATGTACGGAGGGGAAGGCAGCGGGAGCAAGAGGAGAAGAAGAGGAAGAAGAAAAATAAATGGAGTATGAAAAAACAAGGCTTTGATATTTTTCTGTGCTCTCTTCCTGTGACTCCGAAAATGGTTTGCTTTTTAGCTACTTTATTAAGTAAAAAGTTGCTTATGATTTCTAACGATTGATCTCTGGTCATCCTCATCAGTTTTTAGCTTTTAAGCTGTTATATTTTCAAAGTCATATAGTGTTTATGCACAATTTGTGATTTAATCCACATACAGTACTGTACCTGCGCTAGTTTTGTTCACCTAGCAGGTAGGTATTCTTATCTTTTGGAGAGTCAGATTCTCCCCGCAGAGGCTCACACTTTTTGCCCCACCCTGGATTCTTGTCAGCATAACAGTCATTTTTAAGTCACAGATTAAACTTTGCCATTGGAGACTATCATGGATCCCCCTTTGCTGAATTGCAGAACTATTTGCACTATGCAAGCATTTCAGGGCACAGATGACATTTCCTGTCCCTCCAATCATCGCCGCGTTGTAACGTCTCAACTTCCTTACATTAGGAAGATATAATATCTTTCAGTGAGCTGTGCCAGTAAATGTTGCACCGTAGGAGAACGTTTTCTGGGGGGGGGGGGGGGGGCACACTCAGACCTGACCATGTATTATAAAAGCTATTTTATCGACTAAGAAAAAGTCAGCATTTTGAAGAAACCTAGGATCTAAATCAAACCGCCCAAGCCCCCCCCCCCCCCCCCCCCCACCACAAAGCTTTTATTTTTCACACACCTGAGACCACCCTGGCAAAAGAAAATCTGCATCTACCTGCAAAATAAGAAAAGTCCACCTGCAATAATACCCAAAGCACAGGAGTCATCAAGAAACAGTGCTGCGTGAGGGGGAGAGCGCACTGACAGCTGTAGGCCACCTCTCCTCCTCCTCTCGCTCTTCTTCTCCTTCCCTCAGACCTTCTCTCCCCCTTTGTTGCAGCGCCGGTCACTCCACAAAACTGTCGCTGCATGTGGCTGCTGTAATGCAAGCGCTGCAGAGCTCAACAAAGGTTATTTCAGAAACTGACCCCTCTCTGAAGTTCAGATTTCACTTGCTTCTGCTAAGCCTGTGTGTGTGTGTGTGTGTGTGTGTGTGTGTGTGTGTGTGTGTGTGTGTGTGTGTGTGTGTGGGTGTGTGTGTGTGTGTGTGTGTGTGTGTGTGTGTGTGTGTGTGTGGCCTAGCATTACTATACTTGTGGGGTGCTAAATCTGTTTACACAGTCACGTGTGGGGACTCGCCTCCCTTATGGGGACAAATTGGAGGTCCCCATGAGGGTAATCATTAATTTTAGGGTGAAGACTTGGTTAGGGTAAGGTTAAGGGTAAGGGATAGGGTTAGGCATGTGTTGGTTATGGTTAAGGTTAGGATAAGTCTCCAGGAAATGCATGTAAGTCAATGTAATGTCCCCTGAAGTGATGTATACATGGTATGTGTGTGTGTTAGTTAGTGTGTGTGTGTGTGTTAGTGTGTGTAGGTGCAGTTGTGATGTTTCTTTTTTTATTTTCGTTGCTGTACCCAAAATTGTGTGTGTGACGTTTTCTCAGGACAGCTGTTTCTGATCCCCTGCTTCCTCTGACCTTTTTAGCGATTTCTTTTCTTCGTCCTGCGATGCAAGTTGGAGTATTACAGTGGACTTAGTCGCCTGCGTGTGTGAGATAGGGTTTCCTTTAAAACAAAAATGCCCTTCTTCCTTTTCCACTCCTCCGTTTCACCCGGCTTGACTTGTGCCATCACAGGGCGAGATGACAGCTTGAGTGTGTGTGTTTTGTCTCGCTTACATTTGGTGTTTCCGGGCCTTCTGCAGAGCCAGCATCTCAGAGCCGCCTATCCTGTGAGTGATAAGATGTGAAATGAGTGACAAACCCAAAACTTCCCTTCACTCCCTCCCAATTATCTCTTGCACATCCTCCACTCCCTCCATCGTGACGCCCAGAAATACCGACTCTGTTATGTTGTCAGTGATACGTTGGCAGCGCTGGGTCAACATTCCTCGGTGTGATTCCCCCACATTGGGATGTGTGTGAGGGGGAGCAGCTGTGGTCCAGCATGCTGACAAAAGAGCAGGAACAGCAGGAAGCTCCGATAGAGGTGTTTGTGTGTGTTACTATGTTAGGGTTGATGCTAATTGCTGAAACAGCATTTGCCGATAAGCAAAGGTCTCTGGGAGATGTCGTCATCATCACAATATATCCACACAGTTAAACTCTGCTCTCTTTATGGGGCTGTTTGTGAATGATAAGGTCACTCTGACTGTAATAAATCTTGGTATTCTCAGGGTCTCACGCACCGTTTGATAGTTTTCCTGCCCGTGCATATTTCCAAAGGTTTACTGTAGGTCCATATATGTGTGTGTGCAGTTTGGGGTTCTTTACAGTTGCTCAGAGGAATGATAACAGCGAGTCTGGTGTGTTTGTGCAGGATCTTAAAATTTCTTGTGGCCAAGAGGAAGTTTAAGGAGACGCTGCGTCCGTACGATGTGAAGGACGTCATCGAGCAGTACTCGGCAGGACACCTGGATATGCTGGGCCGTATCAAGAGCCTGCAGATGAGGTACATGTCATACCTTTAACAACAAATACATCTCAAATACTTTGTTTTGTACAAATTCAAAGTATTATTTCAGCTTTCTTTCTTGTGTGCCTTTGAGCTCGATCAATTCCACTTTGCATGTCTGAGCTTTAAATATGAAGCTATGGTCAGTAGCATGTTCATTAGCGTTAACAGGAATGGAAACAGATTTAGTCCCATGAATCTTTGTGTTTATGGTCATTTGTTTGTGTAAAAAGGGTGGACCAGATAATTGGGCGAGGAGCCGTCCAGACCGATAAGAAAATGCGCTCTGAAAAGGGTGAGAAAACACTGCCAGAACTGGACCCACTGGATGAGCTAAGCATGATGGGACGTGTTGTAAAAGTGGAGAAACAGGTAACAGCGGAAGAGTTTCATTTATGAACAATTATCTGTACCAACATGTGTCTCATGATCACAATGGTTCGCTTTCATTCAGTATTGTAGGCTGGCATTGAAAGTGCAGGAATAAACTTAGAACCGGAAGTCATGTTAGCATTTAAGAGCTGAAGTCCCTGTTCAACTAACAAAGTGGGCTTTCTTCTGGTAGCCTTCGTTTCTGCAGCTCACAAGAGGATTTAACAGCTAATGACTAAGTCTCCTGATATATGTTGTACCAAAACAGGTACAGAACAAGATGCAAGACAAGGAACAGACATACAGTCCAACTAGAATGAAACATGCAGAACCAAAAGAAAAAAGAAGGCCAATGGTGCTTTCATGTGCTCCTTAGATCAACCCCTACTCTTTCGACTTCAATGTAATTATGACCTATAAGTCGTCATGTGGAAACAACATGGTTGATTGTTTTAATAACACTACAAATATCTCTTCAAATTGACGAGGCGTTCATTTGAATTTTTCCCTTTAATAAACACATTTTACCGAACATCCAGGTGCCTCGTGAATGCAGCACCAATGCCCCATATCTCAGAGTTCACCAAAATGATACATAATGTGACTTTCCACCCCGTGATATCACCGTGATATGAATCCTACTCATATTTTCATGGGTTTTTCTTTGCACCCTTTAACCATGTTTCATGGCGACCCAGTAGTTTTCCTGTAATTCCACTGACAGACACACAGAGAATCAGAACCAAATACATGTCCTCCTTAGTAACAGAGGTAGTAACATACATTTAGTGTAATAAAAGACAACTGTAAGTACAAGTAGTGTAAATATAAATACAGGCATTGGAAATACATTGCAATAAACAACAGTAAAAAATGAAATTGAATGAATTAGAAAGTCGCATTTGTACACATCTATGTGTGTGTGTGTGTGTGTGTGTGTGTGTGTGTGTGTGTGTGTGTGTGTGTGTGTGTGTGTGTGTGTTCAGGTACAGTCCATAGAGAACAAGCTGGACCTCCTGCTTAGCTTCTACTCTCAGAAAGGCTCGTCCCACTTCACCCTGTCCACCCTCCTGGACCCCGACCTGACATCTGACTACCAGAGCCCCATGGACCAAAAAGACCTCTTCCCCTCCGCCAACACGCTCAACATCTCCGAGAGCGGCAACCTGGATTGACAGTGAGCCGAGTCGTCCCAACACAGACTCACAAACCCTTTACAGAACGTCTTCCTGCGGCTGGGTCCTCACCTTAATGTCTTCCATCATTTCATATCTGTTTGGGATGATTTTTACCCTTTCATCTCAAACCTCCACCCTCCCCCTTTTTCCTGAAGTGAATGTGTTTCCAGAGCAGATACAGATGGAGGCCAGCAGATGGCTCCACCTGAACACCCACTACATGAGGATGGAGATGAAGAGAAGGCACATGAACAAATATGACTTGAATACTGAACCACTTTCACTCACCTCATGCTATATATCAATGCCTCTTTTAAAGCTTTTAACTGAAGATAGTCAGACTATGAATTTTTTTATATTTGGAGAAATCTTGTCTTTTTTCCCCTCATCATCCCATTTTTTTTTCATGGCTGCTTGAATCAACTGACTGAGAGTTTGCTGACGTAAACAGTGCTGCAAGTGCCATGCCAGTCATTTGTTCGGTACCATAGCATGGCTGTAATGAATGTAATGGGTCCGACCTACACATTTCCCAGCACCAGACAAACAGTAAAGCACTAAAGGAGCCATTGACACTAATATAATTTGACCCTTGGATCTGGCTCGACAGCCCCCTCGCCAAAGCACCAAACCTCCGCGGTACACCTTCCTAACCAACAGTGGAGATTTTAATGTGTAAATCCTGCTTTGATTGCCCATAATGTTGAGCCGGAGGAATGAGTCAGAGTGACTGATGTGTACTGTACATTGTTGTTTGTTTTCATATTCATTCCCTCTCCCAGATGTTACGTCTCTATCAAGCCCACTTGCAAAAAAGATTCCCTAGGCATTATTCCCTGTTTGGCTGGCATTCAAGTGAGGAATGTTCCTACCTAGTTAAGATTTTATAGAGCCAACATGTCCTTTAACTGGTCTGAAATCCCCTCTTTCCAATGTCCCTTTGTCTTTTTATCATGCCCTTTAACCCTCTCTGTCTTGCAGCCCGTCCCCCAGACATGCATGTTACTGTAGATGAAACCTCCCTGACCCTCGGTCTGAATTTAGACATTTATAAAAAATGTCGGTACTTCTCCTCATCAATCACATCTAGCCTCAGGTCAGGTTTACCATTTCAGCTGATCCTCTTCTACTAAAGGAGGGTGAGTCTCCCTCCTACAGTCATCAGACGGCATGTGATCTCTGGCCAGTTTTAAACAAAGAACCACCTGTAAGGCGTCCAGGTCTAACGCATGAATTCCAGGCCATTATCCTCATGAATGCACGTGTCTTAGGAAATGGTTCCAGCCTTACAGCTTCACCCATAGGTGTTACTGGCTGTTTACTCTCTTCTGTCTTTTCGGCTTTCTTTCTTGGACATGTTAGATGCACAGTTAACGTTCTGTGCTTGTGGACAAAACTGGAGAGTGCACACACGCACAAACATACAAACACACACAGACGCAAAGAAAGCAATTCCTTTACTTAAATACTTTGGCACTTGATGAATATAACACATTTTTGTCTTTTTATCTTTGTGTTTGATTTCTTTACTGTAATTATGTTCATGCACTCGATTTTGTGTAACCCATACGGCAAAGTGTTGTGTTTTTTTTGTAATGATTTTGGTTGTTAAAGTAAATGTAGGATTTAAATTAATATATTTAATTGAGTTAGATATGATCTTCAAATACATTTAGCATGTTTCCTTCAAGTTGAATCATGGATGACACAACGGTAACTAAACACAGCTGATCAGGTTCACACTCACCAATCGCAGAGCTCATAATGTATATATTTTTAAACATCATCAGATAATTGCTGCCAGCTTCGACTAAGAAAACATTTACCATATTGTATTTGGCCAGTGGACACAGTTCTTCTGTCCCTTCATGTATTTATTCCAGTCAAACCAGTTGACTCAGGTGCTCCACTTTTCCATCCAAGCTAAACTCAGACTTCAAACAGTGAATGTATTTCATTGGTCTAATGGCGCTTCAGAGCTTACAGTGTGCATCATACACATTTTGCATTCATTTTGTAGAAAAATACCAGGTCGCTTCGTTGGCCTAAACTATAGTAAGGAATTATTAGGGGCATTAAAAGTGCTTTCACTTCATTGTCACCTGGAGTGTTAAGCTTCATGAAAATGTGAGATCACTGTATTGCATGTTGTTGTTCGTGGTGGCCCCAGTATTAGAAAAAGAAGAAACAATAAGGATGTCTCCTGTTGAGTCATGACTCATGAGTCAAGACATAAAAAGGAAGTGTGACCTGTGCCTTCTATGTCCTTGTTCTGTAACTGAGCGGCTTTCTGTTTCAAATGTAAACATAGATGCTGCTTTAACCAAGTATTTTACATAATAGATTTTTTTCCTATTTAAAGAAATAAAAATTGTTCTTAATATGTACTTTTTAGGGTATTAGTCTCTCATGACTGCTGCAACCTTTGATATGTTCTGAGTATATTACTGTGCGTTTAGCATATCATTGTAACTCCAGCAGAGCCTCCGAGCATCGAGTCCCTTACTGTATGTTAACAGCAGTCAGACCTGCAGGCATGGACATTTGTATGGTCACAGGAAACTCTGCAGGCATGATCCGTCCATAAGCATGTCACATAGAGAAGTATGGCTTCCACACAACTACCTCTGAGGCCACTGAGGCGCTAGTCTAGGAAACCAAGTATGAAACAGTGGAGATTGTCCAGCTGACTGAATGCTATGCATGACTCAATCTGCACGTTCTCTTCTTCATGACGTGCGACCATCCATCTTTCACTGACTTGCTGCCATTTGACATTCCAGCTCGCTGCCCTTTAACTGCTCTCTTAGGAATTGGAAGTCTTGTTAAAATGAAACAGATCAAAGCAATAAGCAAGTACGCTGAAGCCAACAAAGTCTTCCGATTCAAATTGATGTAGCTACTGGTTGATGAAATATGGCGCTTTTCTTATTTTTTAATCTAGTGCACACCTATATTAGATATTTTTAAGAGATACATAAAGTGTATCTGCTGAGGATAAATTATCTCACTTGACTAATTTATTAATTTATTTGTTTCAATAAAGCTCTTTGGACTGTATGTTGACTTCAGTCTCTTTTTTTGTCTGAATTATTCTTATTATTAATAAATGATCTACTGTGTGATGGTTGACACTTACGGAATGGCTTTTATTGCAGGGGGTTGAAATCAGGATGAAAAATGTATAGTATTTGGTAATACCAAATCCTTTATGTTTTTACAAGAATGTAGCATTATTAAAAACTTCCTAATCATAATTTGAATTGGATTATGGACCAAAATCATGATATTATTTTATGTTAAAGGTCACCTATTATGCAAAATCCCCTTTTTCTTGTATTGTATACATAAACATGTGTCCCTCTTCGCTCACTTTTTGTCCTGATCCATTTATATAAAAACCTGTCAAATGAGCTGATCAGATTTTGGCCACTTTATGTCATAACGATCTTTTTGCTTTTGTGTAACCATTAGCCAATCACAACCAAGGTACCCCCCCACACCTTATCCCCTGAATCTCCTCCTAGAGCACCATTGTGTTTATTTTAACCAAATATCTCTCTGAGGGGCGTGGGGAGTGGCACCTTAACAGTATAATAGGGAACCTTTAAGTTGTTGCACTGCCATGTTGAGTTCAACAACATTTAGAGCAGAATGTTAACTGTGCTGATTATTATTAGAACACAAAAAAAGGGTTCATCATGGCTGTTTAAAAATGATTTATTGACAACGTTTAATTGAACAAAATAATGAATCCTTCTCCTTTGTTACTGAAACAAATAATTTAACAGATATCCAGGTTGAGCTTCCATTCTTAGCTCACATGTTTCTGCATACAGAGATCCAGAGTGAATAAAGCTTTACAGGGCAGCTTCCAGTGTTTTGCTGTCACAAAGTGAAGGTTCCTACACCGTAGCTGTGGTAGAACAAAGTCACATGACGCTTGAAGGGGTCGACAATTAAATAGGCAAACGTCTGATCCTCCTCTCGTCTTCCGGGGTAACATCGCCCAGATTCATCCTGCAGAAGATGTGTAATACAATATATGTTTGAAATGTGCAATTCAAGTTAAAACTGCACCTGTGCCACTCTTAATCACGTCATTTTTTGAAAGTTTTTGGGTTGCAGAGTCTGTAATATTGCATGATGTGGTACCACACTGTTAAACACTTGTTGAAAGTAAAGTAAATTAGTTAAAATACTAATTAGCCACTTCATGACTTTCAATCGAAAATAGAATGTTTGTGCACATGTATGCATGTAAACAGACATTAACCAGTCACTTACATAGGCGCAGACTTTGAAGACTGTGGAGACAACACTGATCTTCTTAGTCTCTGGATCCTTCTGAACACTACAGAGTAATGGGTAGAATTAAAGTGTTATTATTAAATCAGCATGTATCGAATAACCTCACTAAGTGTTTATATTGTTGGACAGTATGTATTCAGATAGAAGATGGTCAGATATTGCCCACCTGATCAGGTCTCTGTAGATTTTCTTTGTGGTGCTGATGTAGGGCTCGATGGTGTCTTCGTACTGACAGAGCTCTCCTCCAACACAAAGGTGCTTGAAAAGGCGAAACAGAAGCTCCGCTCGCTCCTCTCTCCCAAACACACGGTATTGCTCAGAGTCCTCCTCCTGCAACATCTGGAGAAACAGAGACTTGGACTGACTCCATGCTGAAAAATATATTTAGATTCAGACAGATGTGTGGATGAGAAAAGAGAGTAACCTGTCTGAGTTCATCATAGTCAGGGTAGACATCATGAAGGCATTTCACTAAATGTCCAGAGGGCCTCAGGATCCCACAAGAGTAGATTGGGTCAAACAGCTCCATCGAGACCTTGGTGCACGGAACAGGCTCCACAGCAACAGACACTATGGGTTTGTCTACAACACACACACACAAACACACAGAAGTCAAAGACATTCCTCCGGGGTTTGACTGCAAATATTGTACAGCAGCAGATGAGATTAATTTCCTACTATCAGTGATGAAAGGATTTCTTTCTAGGGGACATGACATACCAAGAGGCACCCAGGCTCCGGCCTCCGTCTTTCTCAGACTGGATACCACATTGGGATCTCTGAGGAAACTCTGTGTAACAAAGAGTGGCATCAAGAGCAATTACATGTGATTGAACACATGGAGACATTTTATCAGAACAGACAGCCAGGGATTGTTAAACTGTGATTGGGAATGATTAAGCATCACTTTCAGTTTCCCATTTTTTCTAGAAGTTTTGGAACAAGTATATTTACTGAAATACTGTACTAGAGAATAATTTAAGATACGTGTCATTACGTTGTACATGAGTATTTTCATTTTCTGCTACTTCATACTTACTCTAGTAAGGCAAATATTGCACCTTCTACTACACAACATGTCATTACTTCAGTTGCTATGAAAACTGATCAGTTTTACAAAGCATTATCAACAAATAAATTATGCTGAAACATTAAAGCAATGTAAATATAAATGCTTCAATACTGCCAGTAATAATATTTCAAATAATATAATAGCAATACATTATCATTTCTACACTGTAGTATATTTTAGTATCCATGTAGGGCACTTCTATCACCAATGTTCAGGTTTTACTGTAGCCTAATTTCAGACTCGTATCCTAACTTATCATGGTGGGTCTTACCAGTGCAAACTTGTCACTGCTGTAAGGGTAAAAGCACTGGTCAAAGCTGTAAGTCTGAGCTGAAACCCTCCCCAGCATGGACCTGAAAGTAAAACACACATCCATTAGGCAAGCATACACCCTGAAAACTGAAGTGATAGAGGATGGAGATAACCTGGGGAGATTTCAGTTGGCTAAATGTCATACTTCACCATTTCATAAACAGTTCTAACGTCTCTCGGTCCTGTAGGAAGGAGAACTTCTTGGAGGGAAGAGGACAGAAGGAAAAAGTTTGCTCAAAGTCGCATTTATCTCCTGCCATGTTGTTAGTCTTTCTTTGGTTGTTGTTAGCTAAGCTTACAAAAAGCAATAACGTCCTACTCGTATTCATCAACAAGTGGCAGAGTTGTAGGCGTTACTAACCAATCAACAGCACGACTGCTTACTAACAGCCAATCAGCGTATAGTATGGACAGTTTGTTCCAGGTACGTAGGATTACAACAGAGTGGCTCGTCTCAATTTTTCAACCCATCTCTGAAGATTCGTGTTCTTGTTACCTAGGAAACGGTCGTACGTAACGTTACTCTCCTAAAAGCTAAGTTTAGCTAGCATTACAATTCCTTTTACTGACACGTTTTATTTTGGGAAGCTAGTATCGTCTTCCTGACCTTATACGTTTACTTAACTCACAGTCAATGAATGATCGACGTAATACCATAGCGTAATACACGTTAACCAGCAGGGGGGCAGGCGACATGTCTTTACAGCCACCAGAGAGCATCCTTGTCCTGCTTTAGGAACACTATTCTGACTCAGGCTGTATTGTATTTAATCTCATGTGTTGTCACTCTTTCTTCTCTTTTGTAAACAGGTTGGAAAAAGTACTCATATATCTTGTACTTAACTAAAATCAGTACCACATAATAGGAATTCTCTGTTACAAGTAAAAGTCCTGCATTCAAAATGATACTCAAGTAAGGGTAGCCTACTCATTATGCAGATTGGCCCTTTGCAAATTAATATATATCATTACATATCATTCAGCTGACGCTTTTATCCAAAGCGACATACAATGTGCAAAAACCATAAAGAATCAAACTCGGAAAGTGGAGATATATTCACTTCAAGCAAGATCATACGTACCATAGTAGGTGCTGGTGAATCAGATACAAGCCCTAAATTAAATCAACAAGTGCTTTTTAATATATTTTATGTCTTGAATATAATTATTGAAACATCAATGTGTTATTAAAGCTGGTAAAGGTGCAGCTTTTTTATTTCTCTGTATAACCTACTGCAGGGTAGCTTGAATTGTGTGAATTTTAATCCAGGTGTAACTAAAGTTGTATTTGAGTGTTGATTATATTTCACATCATTTATCCAAATCTTCAAAGTAACCAAAGGAATTAAATAACTGTAGTAAAAGTACACAATTTAGCTCTGATTTGTAGTAGGTAAAAGTACAAAGTAACAACAAAAACGTTGCTTTACTCAAGTAAAGTACAAGTCTCTCAAAATGATACCTAACAGTACTTGAATAGATGTACTTAGTTACTTCACACCACTGTTTAAACAGTAGGGTTTGTTAGTCATTGTCAAGTCACTAAGCTCAGGTAACATCATAGCGAGACAAATAAACTGCTCTGCTATGAGATCACATTTTCATTCTTGATATTAGAAGCAATCTCAACTCCAAGGAAACTTCATCCCTTGTCCGGGATATTACGTTTTTGTATTGATATGTTATTTTGTTAAAAATAAATAGTATAGGTTTTCATTTATTTACTATAAATGAGCGACATTTTCTTGTGATTGAGCATGTCCATCTTTATCTGATCACTCAGACAGCATTGCCTTCTCACATTTACTTTTTTCTTACAACATCCTCTCCTGGGTACACTCCTTGAGATTAAAGATTTAAAAAAACGTTCATATGATTGTGTATCAGTAAAATGTGTACCAGCGCTATGAAGCGAAACAGATGTATCTCCAGATGTTTTTATCATCCCCTTGCCTTATTCTCTCTTGTAAATGTTGTTCAATTTGACAGAAAAACCTGAACTTCAGAGACTAAAAGAGCATGGTTTATTTTACCATCAACCTTTTATTTATAGATCTGGTTTTTTACATAACTTTGAAAGGGTACTGCTTTCCATCAGTAAAGGGTACAATGCTGCAAATGCTTCGGTGCTTGTATATTTTTTTATAAACATAGGATTTTCCTTCCTCCAACTATAGTCCTTGTAACTCCCTCCATATCATATTTGTATTCATCCTGGTTCAAATACTAATTCTCAACATTCCTGGTTGGTGGAGGATGTGGGATCTTTTTGATCTACATTCCAGTATGGGACGTCCAGACCCCGATATCCCAATAAGGAGAGACAAGCATGTCCTTCATGGTCACCCTGAAGTTATAATAACGTAATGTCTCTTTAATTGTTGTGATTTTAAAGTCCTTTAGGTTATTAAAATGTCCATCTTTTGCCTGAAATGCATCATGAGGTAAGTCTTACAACCATTGTTTTAACTTCCTTAGCCATTTATAATCAGACCATACTCAAAACATTGATGATCATTTGAGTAATAAACTGAAATGTATTTAAACATTATATTCTCAGAAAACAGGATAATTTAGTTTGTCTAGACTAGGGAGAAAGCTGATGCTGAGAATATTTGATGGACCGAAAATTGGGCCCATGCAGCTGTTAAAACCCCAAAAATTGATTGACAAAGACAATTATGCCAAATTGATGTTTTCATACCGTACAGCCAGGCTATAACCTGACATAATTGAGTCAAGTCATTAAAGCAAAAGTGTTATTCCTCATTGTCTGCTGATTGCTATGTTGTAATTGCACTTGATTTATGCTCATTAGATGAAAACTGAAAAACGTGGCAGGCTGGAATAAGGCGGGGCAGGTGAGAAGATGTAACAGCTGAGGAATGTTTGCCCTGTGATCAAATGTTTCCATGACAGTTTTGCAGATTCAATAGCAGATATTGCATCTTATCCAAATGCTATGTCACTCGTTGATGAATGATAACAATTGCATAATGGAAAACTTGCCTGCCTCGTGTCCAGACAACATCCGTCTGTGTGTTGGTTCAAGTAATTCCCACAACCAGTGTAGAAGAATCAGCTTAAGCAGGACACTGAGGTTATGACCTCTGTTTTTTTAAGTCATTTGGAGATTTTAGGGACCTTTTTGGGGGTTGATTAAAAGGTGTTTCTACCATTTCGTTAAACCTACATTTTAGCTCACGAGATCAGAGATTTAAATGTACTATTTCCATACCGACATTTTATTTTTGGCCATAAAACAAAGTGATGACCTTTATTGAATTTGCATACAATATGACTAGAGTCCTGCCTACGACCCTAAGCTTGAGATTTGTAGTTTTATTAACATTACATTCAATATATAATGCATCATTAAAACACAATGACTAATTGTTGTACATGTTGACATTCTTACTATTGCTAAGCTAATGTTTGCATAAAAATTGGTCTGGTCATTATATTATAAAAGCATAACCAGTCATGTCACGTATGGAGAGGAAAATGATAAAACATACAAAAAAAGGTAATTAAAAGATAAACAAAGCTGCTGACGCGGATGCTCTAAATTCCTGCCCAAGAGTTATCTTCAGCAACATTGCTTGTGTATAGGCCTAAGTGACTGGACTGAAAGCTCTTCTCCTATCTCTATCACTCCAGTCCACACATATTAACACAGATGAACATGATGTGTGGTTTGTATTAACAGTAGTACAATAGAAAAAAAAAAGTGTGGACGATTAAAGACAAGGCCAGGTTCTCTGAGTGATAACACTATTTGGTGTAACAACTCTCAGATTGAGAAGGCCTGGAGCAGAAGAGGTGACTCCTTAAGTGCTTCTGAATTGATCGTGTTTCTAGGCCCAATTACATTATCTAACCTGGACCTATGAGTGCAGACTGTGTCTTTTATTCCCAAATGTCAATCAAACAATTAAGGGGCCTAACAGGCTCCAGTAAAAACTCCACACACAGAATTCTCCAGGAGGACCATCTCAGGCTATGTCATCATCTTCATGAGGTCAACCTTTAGTAGGCCTATTTGTTAATTCCCTTAATTATCTTCTGGCTTAATCTTTTCCCGTCAAAAAGAGAACATGCAGCACAAAGTCGTATTGGCAGCCACTTCAGTAATAGCTTAATTTAGCAGAAATGTTTTTGAGTGTCAGCTAAAATTAAGACATTATGCAAATAATAATAATACACTTTTACAGAGAGAAATGTCAATTTGAAAAACATTTTTCAAACATTTTATTAACAGCCTATAAGATATGTTTTAATAACGTGTAAGTAGCATACCTTTTACTAGTAACATATTGTATACAAAGTCAAACAAAAGTCACATGGAAAAGTTAAAAAGGGTGGGGGGGCGGTCACTATAGCGGCCAGCACAGTGACCCAAATCAAGTACACCTACGATGAAGCACGTCATCAACAGGTGCATACTGTGTGTTGCTAATAGCTAACATGCTAACATGCTAGGGTTCTTTTGGTTTCATCCATAAGACGATCCTCCAGCGGTTTACTGAGGAACCATACCTTCAGTGAGGACTTTCTGCAGTTTGTGACCTGATGAGTTTGACTGCAGAGCTTCATTCAGCTCTAAAGTTTTGGGAACATTGAGGAGCTCAGTAGGACAGAGAGGACTGTGAACTGAGATGAACCTGGAGCAGACTGAGGAGGATTCACAGAAGATTCACAGCATGACGTTCATACAGGTGAACTGTCTTATTGTTGTGATTTGCGTGTGTGCGCGCGTGCGCAAAGTGATGTCTAGAAAATAAATGTAATGCTGATTTGGACATTATGGCTTTGCTAAGAGACACTTTCAAAGGAATACATTCATTATGTAGGCTAAAGTGTTTTTTGTTTCCCTTTTTTAAAAAACAAATCAGAAGCTGTTACTTAAAATCCATTTTAACTGACTTACTTTCTTATTTTATCTGAATATTTCATTTACACTTGGACTTATAGGAATACAATGTTCTTTACTGAAGAGAAGTGGGTTCACAGATACGATATGCTACTGCTATTTACAGAGACTCACCAAGGGAAAGAGTTGTGCCCAGACTTGGAGAACAATGGGAAACACTGCTGTAGTATTTTACTAATGAATCAGAAACTTTTCCTAATGATGTCATGGTGAGAGTGAACTTTGTTACTGAACTCTTTATTCTGCTCAGGGTCAGGCGGTGCACGCTGTGAGTCCCAAAGGGAGCTCGGTCATTCTCAGTCACTCTGCACTCTGCCTCTGGTTGTATGGCATATTGTGATGTTTTAGATTGGATGAGGTCAAAATTAAATGCATTCTCC